TTTTGTTGTTCAGTTGTTTCAGTTGTATCGGACTCTTTGTGACCCCATTTGAGGTTTTCTTGGCGAAGATACTGGAGTGGTTTGCCTTTCCTTCTCCAGCTCATTTTACAGATGAGGAAACTGAGGCAAATAGGGTGAAGTGTCTGGCCTGGGTAACACAGTCAGATTTGAAGCCAGGTCTTCCTGATCCAGGCCTGGCACTCTATCCACTGGGCCACCTTAGCTGCACATTGGATAAGATTACAGGTTCACTGAAGTATTGATGCAGCATAGCATATATTCAAGCTGGCGTCCAGAAAACCAATACCTTTATGTTGCTCAGGGTCTCCTCAGTGTGGCCTCTTAATTCCTCCAGGTTCATAGTATTGGGGCAATCATCTAGTCAAACTCACAGCTCTAAGTTCCCATCATTTTATTTCTATATGCCAAACCAAGCTGGATGATACATGAATTCTAAGGTCTAAAACCAGGAATGTCCCTCCTCTCCTAGCTGCCCCTACTCCCCAAACACTTATAAACAAAAGAGTGGGAGAAGAAACATTTTTTTTCCTGACAATTCCCAGTCCTAGGGTGATGTCTTCACAACTACCTTTTCTCTCTGCCTGTGAAACGTTATTTCCCCCCTCAGGTGCTGCTGCATCTGTCGGGAGATCACTTCTTCACTGTGCTGCTGACATCTGCTAGACTTCTTCTTTCCCGCATGGAGTGTTTGTCTAAGCTCATGCTCAGAGCTCTACCAAGGCCCATTGTCTCACCCAGCCAGTGTAAAAGAGAGCCCCTTGAATCAAAATCTTTCTTTGTCACAGCTTCACTCCTCATTGATGGGAGCTTCCCCAGGATGGCTCAATAATTATGTTGGAGCGATTAAATTCTTTTTATATCCCAGCATAACCCTGGTAGCTAATTCCAAAACCTTGCAAACGACCTATACAGGATATTTGTACCTATTTTACGGGACTTTTATAAGGGAGGCAACATGTTATAATGATTAGAGGTATAGATAGGCAGATAAGCAGATGATAGATAGACAAAGAGATAGGTAGATAGAGCATGTATCAAGCCCTTAATATTTGCCAAGCATGGGGGATTCATATGAAAGCAAACAAGACAGTTCCTGCCTTTAAGAAGCTTACATTATAATGGGGGAATATGACGAAGAAAAGGAAACTGGAAATGGAGGAGATAATGCCTGGAGAAGTACAGGAAGTAAGGTAGAAGCCTAGAACCAAGTAAGGTGAGACTGGCTTATCAGAGCCCATGGTGGCTTCAGAGTCTGAATCCCATTCTCAGATGGAAAGGGAATAGAGAAGATGACCCCAGTGGAGTACATTGAACTAGAAGTAAGGGTTTTAGTCCTGGATTTTGTCTTTGGCTCTAGTCCTGGCTTGGCCACTGTCTCTGTGACCTTCAGCAGGTCACAATTTCTCTGGACTTTATTTCCCTCATCTGTACAAAGAGGTGGTTGAATTCCACACTCTCTAAGGTTCCAAAGTTCTGTGAGTCTATGACAGTTTGTCGATGTGATTCTTGCTGAGTGAAAAGAGACGAGAAAGAAGGAGACGGGAAGAGAAGGAAACAAAAAACGGTTTTAGAAGCCCAGTGGAGGCTAAAACTGTCAGTGCAGGACAGTGTAAGAAGAAATAGAACTGCTTTGCTCTCTGGTCACTTGAGAGGAAAAAGGATGAAAGAGGGATTGCGAAGCCATGTACGTGAAGGAAGAAAACCTTTTTTCAAAGAAAAAAGTGTGTACAAGTTAATTCTGGAGGGCCTAAATTTTGAACCCTATGGGTCTCTGCCAGAGGGCTTCAGGGCCAAAGGAAGGAACAGAGAACAGCAATCCAATTTAACAGATATTTTATTCAGCACTTAACTGTGTGCAAAGCATAGCAGGTAGAGAGCACTCTGGGTAAGGGAGAAGAAACTTCACAGACTATCTGGGTGGGTAGCTTTTTACATTCACTGATTGTAGAGGCCTCTCCAGAGTACAGTTAGAGAAGCAGTAAGATCTGGGGAGTATAACCCATACCAGTGATTCCCAACCTGCAGTTGGAAGTGTACAGTTATTGCAAGGTATCATTAAATGTCTCAGTGTAATAGGTCTTGCACATACATGCATGTGTTACAATTTTTCAAATGTATATATTGTTTCACATTTTGACATTAATTGCATTTTTAATACAAGTTAATTTAAAAGCATTACTGAATTCATAGAAGCAAGAAGCAGTGTGGCCCAGAAGAAGGGAATCTGACTGGCATCAAGGGACATAGCTTTTCATCTTTTGTTTTCTCAATCAAAGCATCCTAATAGCATAACTGCTTTCATGTGGGAGATCAAGAATTTTTTTTGATGTTAAGAAGCAAACCTTATACTGGAAAGGGTTGGGAACCACTGGCTTGGAGGGCTGAGTGCAGAGATGGCTAATAGAAGGTTCCTGATTTCTACTTCCCCTCTCAGCTTTCAACTAACGGAGGCCCAGGCTGATAGCCCCATATATCATGTTTCTTCTCCAACAAGCAAGACCACAGCAAGTCGTCATTCGAGCAGCAATGAAAAGCCAAGATTCCCTAGTCTCTGTCTACAGTTCTTGCTACAAAGTAACCTGGGTTTTCTCCTTTCCCACTGTGATCTCATCCCTTATAGAAGTATAAGCAACATCCCCTTATAAAAGACCTTAGAATGCCCACCCTGCAGGGTGTCATGGGACCCCTTTGGCAGTCTGGTGAAGCCTTTGGACACCTTCTCAGAATAATTTATATAAATGAATAAAATAAATTACAAAAGGATTACAAAAGGAACCAATTATATTGAATTACGATTATCAAAATATTTTTTAAAGAAATAAGGAAGAAAAGAAAGAAGGAAAGAAAGAAGAAAGAAGGAAAAATAAGGAAAAAAGGAAGGAAAGAAAAAAGGAAAGAAGTGTATAAAGAATGAAAAAAGGAAGGAGAGAGAGAAAAAGGGAGAGAGGGAGAGAGAGAGAGAAAAAGGAGGAGGAGGCGGAGATAGAGGGAGAAGAGAAAGGGAAGGAGGGAGAGAGATGGAAGAGGAAGAAGGAAGAGATAGAAGAGAAGGGGAAGAGGGAGAAAGAGAGATAGGAGAGAGGAAGAGGAAGAAGAAGAGGAGGAAGAGAGGTGGAGAGAAGAAGAGGAAGGAGGAGGAGATAGGAAAGGGGGGAAAGGGAGAGAGATAGGAGGTTAAGAGCTCCTGCTTTAGACTGAGTTGGAAAATACAGAACTCAGTCTCAATGAATTTATACTTAATTTCATCATCTCCCACCTTCTCCCTCCAAATACTGAGGTTGATGTGTTTCTCTGAACTGCCATCAAACCAGGGACTGGCTTTCCCTGTTTTAAAGTGAGGCTGGGGGCTCACATACTGACCTTGGTGGCAGGCAAGATAGAGCTGGGTGGACAGATGCTGCCCTCTAGTGCCTTTATAAAGAACATCCAACCCTTGCTACCCTTACATTGTACTTAGAAGTAGAGAATGTTACTTCTAAGTGATTTTCATTATACTAAATGAAAATATATCTTGACTCTTTTTATTGACAGTTTTGCTGATTCGAAAGAAGTTTGCCTAACTTTGCTATGAGAAACACAGGGGAATCACTTTAGAACATTTGTGGTCAGAGATAAGGCAGACATGAATTATATAGTTACAATGCTTTAGGATTGAGATTCTTAAACTTTTGTGCTGCAGACTCCTTTAGCAGTCTGTTGAAGTCCATGGACTGCTCTTCAGAATAATGCTTTTAAAGGAGGAAGTGCTAAATTACAGTTAGAAGTTAGTGAAAATAAACCTGTAATTTTTCCCCCATCCAAGTTCACAGATCCCCTGAAATTGATCCACAGACTCCTTAAGGCTTAAGAACCCCTGCTTTAGACCCATAGTATAGATAATAACCAACTATATTCTAAAGCATTGCTACTGTATAAGAATTTTGACACTCCATTACTGCACCTGGCCTGTTAATTTCGTATCACCTGCAGCAATTAAAAAAAATTGATCTGTCAGCCTCTAACTCTATCATTTAAAGAAAAAGATTTGCTTTTACAGACAGGCAATAGACTGCTGTGGTTAAAATGCAGGATTTGGATTCAGGAAGAGATGGGCTCAAATCCTGTTTCCAACACTTTCTAGCTTGTGACCATCAATGGGTTACTTAATCTTTTTGAGATTCACCCAACTCTCTCAAAATTTAAGTGATAGATGGTTAGTTGGTGGAGATAGTTCCCACACCTATGAAATCACAGGTTTCTGACATGTTGATAGATCCATTTATGTATCTGAAAGAGGCCTTATGTAAAATGCAGGTCCCAATGCCCTCTCCAAGCCATAGTCAAACAAATATTTGTCACATGCCCACCATTTACGAGGCCTTGGTCTAAGTGCTATCTTTGACTTAACATTTCATTCTAAGACAGAAAGAAACCCATCTTTGACAGTATAAGAGTGATAACATTCTTGTACAGTAAAACTGTTTTAGAACACAGCTCATTATTATGCAGATCCTGGAGAAATTGGAGGAAATTCTTGGAAAGTGGTTTAAAGAAGGCTTGAGTACAGTAAGAAGAAACAGATGTCACTAGTAGTATAATGTCATGAGGGCAAAAACTACCCAGATTTAGGGTAGGTGAGAGGCTGATAAAACTTGTTGATGCTTGCCAGTTATGCTAGGCAAGGGGACAAGCTGGTGGTTGACTTTGGCCTACTTGAGTCTTGCAAGGAGGATTAAGGGCTAAGGCACTGGCAGGACAGTAGAACCAACATGGTTGGGGGAAGGAGGGGGAATAGAGGTTTCAGAAAATGGTGACTAGGTAAGTTGGTAGGAAGTATGGACCAGCAGTAGGAAAGGAAACTCTTTGTTCTCTCTTGTTCCATCTCAAAGAGCTAATTAAATCAAGGGGTTTTTGTTTTGTTTTATTTTGCTAGCATGGAACTCTACTCTCTTTAGATCAGTGGTCCTTCTGGAAAAAGAGTCCCATGATGCTTTGCTGTCATGGCTGGGGTGCTGAAGAAGACTACAGGTCTCATTGGACTGGCAGTATATGAGACCCCATGGAAGCGGCTAAGATTATTATATTTGAAGATTTTTGATGCTCTTGAATTTATGCCCTCAAATGCGGCCTATAGAAAGTACACCGAACAGATTACAAATGAAAGGCTGAATATGGTAAAAGAGGAAACAGATCTTCAAAAACTAGAGCATAAGCTTCGGGCTGAAAATGAATTATCACTGACAAGAAAAATGTTGACATGGAAACCCTGGGAGCCTTTAGTGGAAGAACCACCAGTCAACCAGTGGAAATGGCCATTATAATAAATGTTAAATATCTATGATACATAATTTTTAAAAAATCATTAAACATCTATTTAAATACTATTAAAATATTTTTTGAATTATTGGAACTTTGTTGACAGGAAAATTGAAACAAGGTAGTTAGGAACAAAAAATTAGTGAAGGATTAATATATGATAGGGATGAACCATGGTCATTTTAATCTGAAAAACATTTATTCATAAAACAGATTATTTTAAAAACCTTTAAAGAAAGTGATTGCACTGTAATTTGGAAAATCTAATCAGAAACTTTTTTTTTTAATCTTCAATCCAAGAACAAAGAAAGCAACAGAGACTAATAATCTAAGGCATGAGAAGCAATCAGAAATTGAAGTATAATCTGGATAGGTTTATGGAACACTTCCTTTAGTATTTTTCAACATTTAGTTTAAAAATTTATGCTAAGTTATATTAATTTCTAGGAAAGAACTGAATAAGGTGGTATACTTGAATTTTAATTGAACACTTTTAAAATGTTGAACTGTTGTATGCAAAGCACCTGATTAGCTGAGATTCTAAAACTTATTAACTGAATGTTTTTATATAATTGCATGCATTTTTCCACATTCTGAAAGTAGTATAAGAGATTTTCAAATTGAGGTTGACCTGCTTGGCCTTGAGTGTATGTATTTAGTGAAGAAAAATCCAAATTTAATATGTGCAATTTGGTTCTTATGTATATTAAACAGAAATGTTTACTGGAAAAAAAAAAAGAGTCCTCATTCTTTGTAGTATGGAATTACAGGCATGGAAAAGACTCTGAGAGATCACCCATCCCAATCTCTGTCTTCAGGCAAGATTCCTAGACGGCCCCTGACACATAAAATCTAGCCTGTTTTTAAAGACATCAGAGGAGATGTCAATATGTGTTGATAATCCATTTCAGTATCTAAAAATAATAGCAAGAACACTTTTACTTATAGCTGCCCTAATTCCCTTGTGCTGAAGTTTTAAACTCTTCTGTTATTGCTCTGGTTTCAGTAAAGAACAGTTTGTCCCCAGGACCTTTCTCTTAACCTCTAAGGTCTAGAATAAGAGTAAGTGGAGGAGGGGGCAGCTAGGTGGTACAGTGGATAGAGCACTGGCCTTGGAGTCAGGAGGACCTGAGTTCAAATGTGGCCTCAGACACTTAACACTTACTAGCTGTGTGACTCTGGACAAGTCACTTAACCCCGATTGCCTCGCCAAAAAAAAATAAAATAAAATAAAAGAGTAAGTGGAGGGTAGGAGTTGGAGAACTCATTCTTCTGGGCCACCCTCCACTCCGACTTGGAGTTAGTCCAATTGAACCAATAGTAGGAAGGAGAGGAAGAAGGCTTTGTCAGATGTTAACTTGATCTCGAAGTTAGAGAGCTTGTTATTTCACCTGTGGTAGCTTCATCATACCATCTTCTGTGCTACTCAGCCCTGAATCCTAAAAATTAGGTTGCTGCTAAGTGTAATGGACCTTTTCTCTTCTTTCATCCATTTTGCAGCCCCACTTCACTAACTCTAGTATCTAGAATAGGACTAGTACTTCATCCAACTGCTTATGGGGTGGGATGCTTATGGTTGGGTTTGGTGATTCTCTCTTCTTTTTCCTGACTTGCTATATCCCTTTAATTGGCATTTCTGGCACCTTGGCATCCTGCCTACCACCTGACTAGCTAGTAGATCAATGATGGTCAGCACTTTAATCAGGGAAGGAAGGTCTAGACTTTGGTGTTCCCAATTCATTGGTAAAATCCTGGTTGAAGAAGAACAAGAAAGGCTAGAATCTAGAGATGGGAATAGAGAATATGCCTTCTGAATTTGTGGGGATGGTGGAGAAGGTCAAGGCTAGGGAGTGAAGAGGAGGAATAGAAGCAGAAATATCTACTCATCTATAAAGGGCATGATCACAAGAAGCCTAATCAGTCTCGAAGGGTTAAATAATGAGGCCTTTATTCTGGCCATGAATTCACATCCCTATACAAGGTGCTAAAGAGCTTTTATTGAATGCTGACCACATATACCATGTTAAATGTTTTAGGGTTTATAAAGAAGCATAGGACACACAGTTCCTGCCTTCAGGGAGCTTAAAATTAGTTGAGAAGACAAAACACAATAATGAGTTGCAATGCAAAAGAAATAACAGCATTAAGACAATACAAGAGGTGTCAGAATGGCTGAACAAGTTGTGGTATATGGTTGTGATGGAATGCTATTGTGCTATAAGAAATGATGAGGGAGATGGCTGAAGAAAAACCCAGGAATATGAACTGATGCAGAGTGAAGTGAACAGAAACAGGAGAGCATTGTACACAGTAACAGCAATATTGTAATGACGATTGACTGTGAAAGACTTAGCTACTTTGCTCAATGCAATGATTCGAGACAATTCCAAAGGACTCATGATGAAAAATGCTATCAACCATCAGAGAGAGAATTGATGAACCCTGAGTGAAGATTGAAACCTATTTTTTTCATTTTTTCTTCCTTTTTTTTCTGCAACATGACTAATATGGAAATATATTTTGCATGCCTCCACGTATGATGGGTGTCAAATTGCTTACCTTCTCAATGGGTGGGGGAGGGGCTGGAGGGAGAAAGAGACTTTAAAACAAAAAAAAATGAACGTTGAAAAGGAAAGAAACAAAGAAAGACACGTTACAAGACAATAGGATCGATTTTACAGATGAAAGGAATTAGTAGTAAATGTCATAAATCTAAAAGATGTTGGGATTACTGTGGATTACACTGATATGAGGAGAAAGTGGGACTTATACTGGACCTAGAAGGATGTATAAGATTTAAATCCAGAGAGGAAGGAAGATGACATTACAGTCAGGATGAATAGTCTGAACACAGGCACAGGTGAAACAAAGCACAAAATCTGTTATGGGTTAGTGAGTATGTCAATTTATCTTAGGTGGGGCAGCATTTAAATAAGGAAGTAGTAAAAGATGTGGCTGATGTGGCAGATTGGAGTCAGATTTTGGATTTTACTTTAAGGAATGTGATCTTGATCTGCAGGTAATGTAGAGCCATTGAAGGTTTCATTTATTCGTCTAGTGGTTTACAGATATACAGGTCAAAGCATGTGCTTATGTAGTGTACAAAGGTGTATTTTTGTAAAGTTTTGTATATGAATGTATGAGTATATAAATGTTTTATGTCCAAGTATATGTGTGAGAAAGAATGAACCTTTGTGAATGTAAGCACACAGATAATGTAAATAAAGGACAAGGACATTGTTAACAGACTCAAGTTGATAGAGTCCCATCTGGCATTTTGGGGGTTCAAAGAGAGCCAGGAAGGAGTGCCAATAAGGCCACAGCTATGGCTCTAGGAGAGGCATGGATAGGCATTTCTTTTTTTTAACATATTTTATTTTTTTTTCCAATTACATGTAAAAAAAATTTTAACATTTGTTGTTAAGTTTTGAGTTCCAAATTCTGTCTCTCCTCCCCTTTTCTCCCTCCTCCCTAAGATGGTAAGCAATCTGATATAGGTTATACATGTATAATAATGTAAAACATTTCCATATTAGTCATTCTGTGGGAAAAAAAACCTCAAAGAATGGAAGGACAGAAGAAAGGAAGGCAGGAAGGAAGAAAAAGAAAGGAAGGAAGGAAGGAAGGAAGGAAGAAAGAAAAAGAAAGAAAAAGAAAGAAAGAAAGAAAGAAAGAAAGAAAGAAAGAAAGAAAGAAAGAAAGAAAGAAAGAAAGAAAGAAAGAAAG